ATCTACAGAGAGAGACAAAACATATTGAGACATATGACAGACTGAGATAGATAGATAGATAGATAGATAGATAGATCAAGAATAACTTAAGAAAACATTATATATATATATATATATATATATATATATATATATATATATATATAATAAAGTACACAGAAATAGAATGGGGCGTTAGGCAAGAAAGTATATTCTCGCTGTATTTATTTAACCTCTATATCCTAAGGGAGCTTGAGGCCCTGCCAGAATTTATTATCGGTGGGTGCGATTTTAACAATTCAAGATACACAGATGACACACTGTTGATGGCAGATGCAGAAGGAAAACTACAGGACCTCCTAGAAAAAAGTAGTAAAAGAAAGCAAGAAGAAAAGACTAATCATCTACTGTAAGAAAGCAGAATATATGGTTGTCAGAAAAAGAAAAAAAACAAGATGCGAGCTACGAATTTGAAATGTCAAAATCAAACAAAAAAGTTCAAATATCTGAGAAGTGCTAATACGGATTATGTAAAAAACATGACACCGAAATCCGAAGGACTTTTGGAATAAAAAAAGATGCATTACAAAAGTTAATCAAAGAAAAAACTGGAAGCAGGAGAAATTTTCTACAGTAGGATGCTGAGAATATAATGGACTGAGCAAGTGAGCAACGAGAAAGTTTTCAGGAAAATAGAAACAAAAGGTCACTTATACCTAGAATCAGAGAGAGGCAGTTGAAATTTATGGGACACATGATAAGGAAAGAAGGCTTGGAAAATTTGCTACTCACGGGGCATATGGAAGGCAAGAGAGAGTGATAGAAACAATGAATAACCTACTTAACCAGCTTGTGTATGTGAATTGCAGAATACGGTGTGGGAAACATAGCAAAAAGACAAATATTACAAAGAAAAAGGACAGGAAGCTGTGGAGAGCCATGATCACTTACGTCCTGTATATGAAGAAGAGATAATACTAAGAGTGGGGATACTTGCTGTCATTTGATCACTAATAATAGTCACCGATTTTTACTGGTTTGAAAGCTCAGAGAGAAAGACAAATTATTATAAAACTATGACAGTACATTTGGTTAAATAATTTAGACGTGTATTATGTCTATTTATTTTAGTTTCAATCCTTTCAAGTCCACGAATTAATTTCTTGGTGGCTGTAGAACAATTGATTAAGAGAAATTCCTAAATTTTCTTTCAAAATATTTTTTATTTTCCCAAGTACTTTCAATCTCGCCTGAGACCATCTTCAGGGGTTGCACATCTATGAATATGCTATGAGTTAACACCGTAAATTCAAAATATTTTTTCACCGCCAATCACAGTTTCCCCTGCAATTTGACATGAAATGAAAAAGAAATGGGTTCATGCCTTTCACATTTGCATTAGTGCGAAAGAATATCGAAACAAACCAAGTAGAAATTGCTCAAATTTCGACTTGGTCTGCTGCACTGAATGCCGCCGATTCTTTTTTCAGCCTCGATACACACGCACACACACACACACACACACACACACACACACACATATACACATATATATATATATATATATATATATATATATATATATATATATATATATATAGATTTTCATTCAAGCATGTTTTGGTTAAATAATTTAAACGTATTATGTCTACTTATTTTAGTTTCAATCCTTTCAAATCCACGAATTAATTTCTTGGTGGCTCTAGAAAATTGATTTTAAAAAATTTCAAAATTTTCTCTCAAATAATTTTTATTTTCCAAAGTACTTTCAATCTCATTTAAGACCATCTTCAGGGTAAGTATATGAGATTAAAAGTACTTTGGAAAATAAAAATTATTTGAAAGAAAATTTTGGAATTTTTTAAAATCAATTTTCTACAGCCACCAAGAAATTAATTCGTGGACGTGAAAGGATTAAAACTAAAATAAACAGATATAATACGTCTAAATTATTTAATCAAAACATGCTTGAATTAAAATATGCTGCCTAATTATACATATTTTTAAACTGCGATTATCATGTTAGTAACTTTTACCACAATTCTTAGAATTATTATAAAAATGAAAAGGTAAATCATATCTGGATATATTATTAGCGGACACAATCTTAATAACACAAGATATGAAGATGGCTTCGTGCTAATATCAGACACAAAAATGAAACTTCAAGAACTTCGAGAAACGGTAAAAAAGAAAAATAAGAAAGGATTATCCCTTGTAAGTAGATGGAAATTGTAAGAAGACCAGCTCAAGAGGCGAACTATGGTTTTTCACTACACAGTAATAACCATGTTTCTAAAATGGAAGCTGTACCAACTAAAAATAACGTTCATTTTAATAAGAAATAATAGCGAATAAAAATCCTTTGTCTGTCTGTCTCCATCCCTCTCTTTCTCTCTCTCTTTATAAGACTAACCGAGGTACCCGGCGTTGTCTAGGTATACATGGCTGAAATTGTATAACTGCAACCCTTGTATACCCGCACCACATGTCTAGAAATATCTGCCTGCGATCCCGCTTGCATGCATCATCCGTTGGTGTACTAAGCTATTCTCTACCCACTCATCTTTTTTACGGTATGCCCTTCACAATTGTTTGATTGTTCTTAATAATGGAATTCCATCGATAAAATCTTCTTGCTAAGGATTAAATTGTTTCAATGTTTTAGATATTCAGTAAATTTCCTATGGCCGTAATAACTTTTAAATAGTATGACATTGTTCACAAATTTAATAATCAAACAAAAACAGGGAGGAAGCATCAGAGCTTGATTCAACTGAAAGGGCAAACGCATGAACGCCCTTCTCCTTCTTCGCACGTGTACTGTAAAGCTGGGTTTAATAAGAGGTTCTTCGGAATATTTCCTTTTTAACGCTTCAATAATCCTTCTCAAACAATCTTTGCAAATGTTGTTCGAATGTCAATTGATATATATATATATATATACAGATAGATAGATAAATAGATAGATAGATAGATACGATATTATCTTTTTTACATATATATTTTTTTTATTTATATCTGAATTTGTACACCGCCAAATATGTGTGTGTGTGTGTGTGTGTGTGTGTGTGTGTGTGTGTGTGTGTGTGTGTGTGTTATTATAACCGTCATTGTAATGGGTACACGTGTTTAGGTAGACATCCTTGTTTTTTATTTATATATTTTTACAAGAACTGAAATGAATGTCTATCGAACTAGATAATCGAAAGTCTTATTAAGGTAGAAAGATGTCTACTTATTTAGGCGAACTAGATGGTTGTTTATGTTTAGCGGCATATCAAAACCTCTATGTGTTATTTAATGCCAAAATCTAAATATTTTGCTTGCAATTTTATGGTTTCAACTAGATGTTTTGTACATAATTTTATACTTTCAGGGCAAATGTGTGTTTAGATATATAGTTTGGAGATAAATGTATTGATGGTAATTTTACTATAAAAATGTATTTTATTAATTAAGTGATGTATTGACTGTCATTTTGCTATAAAGATCTATTAAAATTGGTTATTTTTTTAATATAAATATATTGCTGGTGTTTTTACCATAATTTATTTTTGTACACCGTGAATCATCAAACAAAAATCAAAACACTATTTACCCATAGCTGGGACCCTAACAAGTACTACCACCTCGAGTCAGGATGGACCTGGGAACACCAGCAATTAAGAGGTGGTTCCACGCTCCTCAAAACCTCTTGATCATAGGTCTTGCTGCCGAATGTAGTGTATCATCAGTCAGTTATGTGCCATGCGTGATACACGCTTAGGCGATCATGTATCTTTCGATACATGACTGACGAGGCTGATTTTTCCTACAGTAGCTTGCCATCTCTTTCTGCGGTAGACCAGTTGACAGCCAAGTTTATAGAACCTGGTCTGTCCTGCTATTTACCCAAAGCTGGTGGGAGAAGAAGAGGACTCATACGTTTTCCAAGGGTATTAGCACGTAAGTGAATGTAATGGATTCGACTGGAATTCGAACTCGGCTCTCCGATTCTTTATCGTCATACCCAGAACCAAAGAGGCGAACTACGAATTGGACATACCAAAATCAAACAAGCACGAACATTTTAATATCTAGGAAGTGTTCTAACCGAAGACAGAAAACGTGACACCGAAGCCCATAATAATAGCGAAAGACGCCTTCCAAAAGCCAGGCAAAGTATTAAGCAACAGGAAAATTTCGTTAGAAAAGAAGAGAAAAGAGTTCTGAAATGTGATGTAATATCAGTCCTCCTCTGTGGCAGTGAATGCTGGACAATCTCCTCACAGATGGAGAAGAGATTGAAAGCGGCAGAAATGTGATTCTACAGAAGGATACTGAGAATACCATCGACTGAACATGTGCGTAACGAGGAAATTTTAAGGAAAATGGAAACAAAATAGACGCTTAAAATTAGAATCAGAAAGAGACAGTAGAAATTTCTAGAACCCGTATTGAGGGCTTAGAGAATTTGACACTCACATAAGAGCCCAACTAATCCAAACAGATAACTGAAATTTTTATACAAGATCAGCGTTCCGTTTAAATATGATCACGTAGTCGTCACGGAACGCTGATCTTGTATAAAAATTTCAGTTATCTGTTTGGATTAGTTGGGCTCTTATGTCCATTGTCTTTTGTGTTAAATTTTTATAAGTTCTAATGTTAATTATGTTTAAATGAAAATGTCCATGAAGATGGTCTTAAATAGACCGAAACGTCCGACGTCGACTTTATATTAACATTAATACTACATAATTGCATATTAAGATTTTTGTTTGTTTTTTCTGTATTTTTCTTCATACTGTCGGATCTATATCCATATATTTGCTTACATATATATATATATATATATATATATATATATATATATAATTTGAGATCAAGGGACAGTAAGTAAATTTGCCTAAACATTGTTACCTGAATAGGTGTAATTATTATTACTGCTACTAGTAGGAGGATGACGACGAAGAGGACAAGGAGGAGGATTACCAAATTCTAAAACGCTGTCAAATATTTGCATAATATCACGTGAAATGGGTGGGTTATCTCTGGATCAGAGGCGTGGCTTCTTCTAAGTCGCGATGTTCGTTGTCAAGTCGACTCGCATCAGGACTTAGACCGACCCGACGTAGAGGGTGCTGCTCAGCGGTCAGCGAACAAACGAGTGTGGACATTAGAGAAGCAGACGGAGTGCGTCACTGTCTGTTATTTCTCTGGCTATAGCCGTCGTCGACTATCATCAACGTGGCGTTGCACGTGCTCACTACATCACGTGTCCGTGAGTTTTTCGTCTGGTGTCGGCATTGTTCGGCTCAGCCCGGCCCGGTCCGGTTCATCTCGGTTCACGCATCACCGTCACAGCAAATACCTGAGTACTCAGTAAAATTGCGCCGTAGCCAAATCAAGAATCTCCCGGGTATCTTCCTCTTCCTTTTAGACTTTCTTTCCCACTCCTTCTACCCACTCTGCCTTTCTCTATCCGTGTAACCTTATCGTTTCTTTACTTCACCCTTCCTCCTCTTCTTTTATGTAGTCCTATCTCTCTTTTCCCTCTTCCTCTGCCCCTTCTTATTTTTTTCTCTACGTTTAGATTTCTTCTTTCTCTCGTTCTTTCTTATTCTTCATATTTCTCTTAGTTTAAACTTATTCCTTCTATCTTTTCCTCCTCCTCTCGTTAAACCTTACCGTTTCTTTTTTCCTACTTTCTTCCTTTTTTCTCTCTATTCTCTTTCTTTATTTCACTATACACACCACGTCTCTTTTTCTCTCTTCCTTTTATCTTTCCCTCTTTCTCTTCTTCCTTTCTCTCTTAGTTCAGTTGTAACCTTTTTTCCCTCTTCCTCTTCTTTTATCAACTCTGCGTTTATCTTACCCTTTCTCTCTTTCCATCCTCTCCTTCTACTTCTTCCTTCCTTTCATCGTTCAACCATATCCTTTCTCTCTTTCCATATTCCTTTTCATCCCTTCTCTATTCATCTAACCTTAACCTTTCTGTTTCCAGCTTTTTCTTCTCTTCGTTTAACACTAACTTTTCTCCCTTTCTCTCGTTCACTTATTTCTTTCGTCTTTTCTTTCATATCCTTTGATAATTCCCAGTTCGTCTTTCTCTATCCTCTCTCTCACTCTCTCTCTCTCTGTCCCTTCTCTCTCTCCCTCTCTTCCTCTTTGCTTTTCCCTCATTTTCACTCTTTCTAGTTCTCTTCCTCTTTCTTTTCCCTCATTTTCACTCTTTCCTCCTTTCTCGTTAGCGTTTAACGACTCCGATATACATATATATAAACGTTTAACGATATATATATATATATATATATATATATATATATATATATATATATATATATATATATATGTGTGTGTGTGTCCTAAGCTTAGCTCCATCTTTAGCACCTCCTAATATATATATATGTATATATATATATATATATATATATATATATATATATAAGTAGATAGGTTCACTTATCGCCCGGTTCATACTCCTTCCTCGCCTATTGAATAGGAGTAGAGGTTTAATACTTGTTTAGGTTTCAGTTTCCTTTTAAGGCCTTATTCTCTTTCACTCCCAGTAATTCTTGTGTCTTAGCGGAATTATCGCTTTGCTTGGTGGCAAAATGAACATATATATATATATATATATATATATATATATATATATATATATATAGTAAATTAAGAAAGGTCCAAGTGACTTATTTGATTGGCCGACGTGAAACTCTTGAATCGGCTAACGAGCTAATTCACCTTTCTTAATTTATTGACGTTCATGTGACTTATCTGATTAGCCGACTCAAGAGTTTCGCCTTGAAACGTTCATTAGTGCCAGAAGTTTGCAGGACCAGATGTTTCATAAAGATTTATGAAACATCTGGCCCTGATGAGCGATTCGATGTGAAACTATTGAATCGGTTAACCGGATAAGTTACTTTAATTTTCTTAATTTATTGAATATTAGATCTCTAGCTATTTATTGAGCATTTTATTGCCTTGCGTTGACAATAAATTTTTCATCATTTTAAACCATTGGCGATTTTCCCAAAGAAAGATCATACCTTTTGCTGTATAAACAGGAAATGATCATAATATTTTTTCTGTAGGGAAGAAATATATTTTTTATTTTTTAAAACATTATATTTTTTGTATTTCCAAATGAATAAATTACAAACAAATCACTCTCAACGGCGGGTATTAATCACACTGATGTCAGTCATAATATAATACGAAGTATTTTAATTATAGAAAAAAAACTGTTCCCTAAGGATAAAAAAAAATAAAATTCCTAATTTCAAGTTAGATGTTTTAGAAATTAAGAAATTTTGTGTTTTACAGTGACATGAAGTGGAAAGATTATATTGAATTAATTGCCGGGTCTGCTGCGAAAAAATGTTGGTTCAATGTGTCTTTCTAGAGAAGCGTTTCTCAACCGTTTTACCCCTTACGTAACCCTTAAAATAAATGACATGCCTCAAGGAACCCCTGCGTAAAAACAAAATTATATACCATATCTTTCTCATTTTATTTTCATCGTAGTTCACGTGGTAAATATCATAGTATATATTTTTGAATAACTGGTTTAAGGAAAAATTAATACTTCTTTGTTAAATCTTTCGGTAATGCTAAAGAAAATTCATACTGTTTGTTTATAATACTTCATCAGGGAGTTTTCATTCACACACAAAAAATTCTAAACTGAAACATAAAAGTAACCAATATCATAAAATACCTATAATATAAATGTAAACAGAACGAAAATAGATAATTGTTGCATCAGTTTTTTTATTCATTTATCCTTTACTGGCAATGTTGGAAAGACATAAGGTAAGTCAAGGCAAAATATCTTGTGAACCAATAAATGGGCTAAGAAAATGTTACTTTCAGAGCCATTTGATAAAGTGAAACATGCTTCTCTAATGTGAAGCCTGTACCTGTCTTTTGCTTAAATTAAATAAAAAATAAAAATAAAAATGCAGAGTTTTTCTTTTCCTAGACCAGTTACCATCAAAAGCTATAGAACCCAGTCTGTCCTGCTATTTAACCATAGCTTTTAGAAGAGGATTCATACCTTTCCAAAGGGTATAAACACGTAAGTGAATGTAATGGATTTGACTGGAATTCGAATTCGGCTCTCTGATTCCTCAATCCAAGCCGCTATCCATTACTCCACTGTGCCAAAATGCATATAATTAGTCTATATATTACTGTTCGTGGGACCCCGGTTGGGAAACGTATTGTAGAAATGTTGGCAAAAGCAGCTCCACCGAGAGTTCAACACTCATTTTATGTTGATTGATTGATTCGTTTTGTACGGCTTATCAATTATTTGCAGGTCATTTAACACGTTGGCTTCCAAGCCTCATATCCCTGGTTGTCCCAGGGTCCCAATACTATATCTTAATTAATTTTGGTACAAGCGACAATTATGTTTTAACATTGTTTCATATATGAGGCAAGGATATCATATTTATTACCCAAGAACCCATCGGTGTGTCGTTCTGTACCCGAGTACATTTTACCACCCAAAGACCCACCCGAACGCATAGTATAGCTCTGGGTATTAAAATAAAAGAAAATGACAAAAAAAGTAGAAATTCCAAAAGGAAATCGAAAAAAAAATCAAAAATATTTAAATTTCTTTAGAAAAAGATATGGTTCTGGTGTACCATGATCTCATAAATAATCAATCATAGCATCCCACTCCCAATAATCATCATAGAAAAGAAATTGGAAAACGACCCACTAGAAGGTCGTGCGGGCCTTGTAGACATGCCACCATGACACACTGGTGGGTCAACGTGTTAAAGCCAGGAAATATTATTTAGATTGTAAGAATTGGAGGTAGGTAGAGTATATAATAATGATTTAGCGATACAAGTCTTACTAATTAACCCATAGAAGGGAGAAGAAGAGGTAGATTCATGCTTTTCCCAAGGGTATTTGTGCGTAAGTGAATATAACGAACCCAACTGGAATTGGAACTCTCCAATTAATAATTCGGAGCCATTAACGTTACACCACCTGTACATCACCAACTTACAGCACCAGGTATTTCCAAGCAGTCACCTATCTAAGTACTGACCAGGCTCTACGTTGCTTAACTTTGTTGATCTTACGGATATGGCCATAAACTCACGCGCAACTACTTCAGCCAATAGATAGATAGATAGATAGATAGATAGATAGATAGATAGATAGATAGATAGATAGATAATTAGACTGGGATAGATAGATAGATAGATAGATAGATAGATAGATAGATAGATAGATAGATAGATAGATAATTAGACTGGAATAGATAGATAGATAGATAGATAGATAGATAGATAGATAGATAGATAGATAGATGTGAATTAGACTGGGATAGATAGATAGATAGATAGATAGATAGATAGATAGATAGATAGATAGATAGATAGATAGATAGGAATTAGGCTGGGATAGATAGATAGATGGATAGATAGATAGATAGATAGATAGATAGATAGATAGACAGATAGATAGACAGATAGATAGATGTGAATTAGACTGGAATAGATAGATGTGAATTAGACTGAGATAGATAGATAGATAGATAGATAGATAGATAGATAGATAGATAGATAGATAGATTTTTCCAAAAGTAGAGAAATGTTGAACATAAAACATATAAAGAAGTCTTAACTGTCATAGGAATATATATGAAAAATAACATTAATAGAGTTTGGTGGGCGCCAAAATAATAAATTGGTAAGAAAGTTCGATTTTTTTTTCTTTTATCGAAGACAGATGCACTGACATAGGATTGCCCATAGAGCGCCAAGGCAGAGAAAATATAAACTGAATTTGGAAAAAAACCAAAGACGTAAATATCGATATGTCGATAGGAAAGTATTTTAAGAGAGAAAGAAAGAAAACTAAAAAAGAGAAAAGAGATTGAAAGAGAGAGAGAGGGGGCGGATAAGAAAGAGAAAGAAAACAGGAAGGAAAAGAAAAAATAAAGAGAAAGAACAAATTAATGATAAAGGAAAAGAAAAAATAAACCGAACGAATAAATAAACAAAAAGAAGGAAAGAGAACGTAATGAAAAATTAAACAGAAAGAAAATTTAAAAAGAAAGAAAAAATTAAAGAGGAAGAAAAAGAATAGAATGAAAGAGGAAGAAAAAGAATAGAAATGAAAGACGAAGAAAAAGAAAAGAAAGAAAGAGAAAAAAAGAATAGAAAGAAAGAAGAAAAAAGCATAGAAAGAAAGAGGAAGAAAAAGAATAGAAAGAAAGAGGAAGAAAAAGAATAGAAAGAAAGAGGAAGAAAAAGAATAGAATGAAAGACGAAGAAAAAGAAAAGAAAGAAAGGAAAAAAAGCATAGAAAGAAAGAGGAAAAAAAGAATAGAATGAAAGAGGAAGAAAAAGAATAGAAAGAAAGACGAAGAAAAAAAAAAAAGAAAGAAAGAAAGAAAGAAAGAGAAAAAAAGAATAGAAAGAAAGAGGAAAAAAGCATAGAAAGAAAGAGGAAAAAAAGAATAGAATGAAAGAGGAAGAAAAAGAATTGAAAGAAAGACGAAGAAAAAGAAAAGAAAGAAAGAAAGAGAAAAAAAGAATAGAAAGAAAGAGGAAAAAAGCATAGAAAGAAAGAGGAAAAAAGAATAGAAAGAAAGAGAAAAAATGATAGAAAGAAAGAGGAAAAGATAGAAAGGAAGAGGAAGAAAAAGAATAGAATGAAAGAGGAAGAAAAAGAAAAGAAAGAAAGGGAAAAAAAGAATAGAAAGAAAGAGAAAAAATGATAGAAAGAAAGAGGAAAAGATAGAAAGGAAGAGGAAGAAAAAGAATAGAATGAAAGAGGAAGAAAAGGAATAGAAAGAAAGAGGAAGAAAATGGATGAAAATGCTGAAGAAACAAAATAAAGTGACAGAAAAAAGAAAGAGAAAAAAGAAATATCTAAAAAAAAGAAAAATAAGAATGAAAAAAGAAAGAAGAAATACTGTGAAAGAAAAATCTAAAGAACGAAGCAATAAAGAGAAAGAAAAATTAAAGGAAAAGAAGGAATTAAAAAGAAGGAAAAATTAAAAAATTGAAAAAGAAAAATACAAAATTAAAAAGGAAAAGCTAATAATGAGAAAGAAAAAATAACGAGAAAGAAAGAAAAACTAAAAAGAAAGAAAAAATAAACAGAACGAATAAATAAACAATAAGAAAATGAAACGTAATGAAAAATTAAAGAGAAAGATAATTTAAAAAGAAAGAAAAAATCAAATGGCAAGAAAAACAAAGAGAATGAAAACAAAAAAGAAAGAAAAAAGAGAAAAAGAAAGAGAGTGAAAATAGAAACGATAAAAAGAAATAAAAAATTAGAGAGAAAGAAAAATTAAGTGAAGGAAGAAATAAAGAGAAAGATAAAGAACGCGAAAGAAAAATCAAAGGAAAAGAAAGGATTAAAAAGAAAGAAAATATTAAAAAAAGAAAGATACGAAATTAAAGAGAAAGAAAAAGAAAGAAAATACAAAGAAGTCAGAAAACGACAGAAAAGAGAAGAAAGAAATCAGAGAGTAAAAAATTAGAAAAAGTAATAATGAAAACGAGAAACACTAGAAAGAAAAACGAATGAATAAAGAAAATACAAAGGCATTAATTAAAAAAAGAAAATGGCGAAATACATTCTCTATTAAAGATAGAAAGAAAAGAAAGTGTTAAAATTAAAAAAAAAAAAAAAAAAAACAGGGAAAAATGATGTAAGAAAATATGGAGGTTATTTGAGAAAGAAGGAATAACTGAAATAAAACATAAACAGACATCGAGAAGTGACGAGAAAATAGAGAATGTAAAGGAATGGCGTGAAAAAAATAACGAATAATAACCCAAATCGAAATAAGCGAAGAAAGAAAATAATCAAAGAAAAACAAAGATAGCGAGGATCTGAATTTTTTCCACCTATGACGTCATTATTCATCTGACTTTGGCCTTTACCGTTGCGATTTTATCACGTGATCAATCGATCGTCTGCTGAATTCAATGTGTCGAATGTCTCAACGTTTTCTCGCGTGTAGTTTTTCAAGGGCGCCCAAGTTTTCGTTTCTATGCACGCGTTTCTCTTCATTCTTCATTCTCGTTCTTTACATTAAAAAAAAAAAAAAAACGATAGCAATTTTTGGCAGCTTTACAAATCACACGTTCGAACTTTGACCTCAAAATAAAACCCTGTGTAATAATGGCGCAACAGGACACCAGAAGGTAATGTTCTCTTAAGTCTAGAAAAGAAAGGCGAATATTATTTTAACTTTTTTGTAAAATTCTTCGTTAATACATGCTCTTTCAGGGTGTAGGCTATCATCACTTTCCACAACTTCTTACCCTTTGTAACTCTCTTTACTATCCCTCCCAGTCATCCATTTACACAAGCTCGTTAGGTAGAATGATCATGGCCCTCCACAACTTCCTATTATTTGTATCTCTAATCAGTCTTTGTCTTTTTATTATATCTCCCAGTCCCTGTTCTGTCATCCAGTTGCACAAGCTCGTTAGGTATATTACTCGCTGTTTCTTTCTGTCTCTCTTGCCTTCAATATGACCTGTGAGTGTTAAATTCTCCAAGCCCTCTTTCCTGTCTCCCAGAAATTTCAACTCTCTCTTTATGATTTTTAAGTATAAGTATCCTTTTCATTTCGATTTTTCTTAAAAATTCTTCGCTGCATTTCGTCCATGGTATTCTCATCATCTTTCTGTAGAACCACATGTCTACGAGGAAATTGTTTAGTTTTCATTATCATATGGGAGGACTGAGAATATATAGCAATGAAACATTTTTTTTTAATTTTCTAACAAATAGGCCTGTGAAAGTAGAGTTTGTTTACTTGGTCACGATTGGCTGCATTCACCTTCAAAGTATCCCTGCTGCACTTCGTAAGACGATGCAAACATTCTTGGGATTCGTTTTCCGAAATAGCTTTCATTCTTTTAATCACGTGTTGCTGGATGTCAGCAATTATTTTTTTCTTTCAGGGTCATTTTTCAATTTTGAACTGGGTCAAAATCACAGTGTCGTGTTGGGGAGGCCGAGTCTGGTGGATATGGTGGAAAGGTCATTTTTGTAATGGATTTCTTGACCAGGAACTCGCGAAATCCTAACGCATCAGGAGCATTATCATGATGCAGAATTAGGAAATCATTGGACTAAATTGATGTTTACGTTGATGCGACTACGCATGCGTACGAAGTAGAGGCGAAACTGAGAATCTTTATGTTGGAAGCAGCCGATTTGCTTTAGATTTTTTTTTTTTTTCATTTTTATTGCGTTTTTGTCCCATTTGTTATTAAATAAACATAAAACACGAAAACTTTTTTCTACTTTTTCATGGATTCTCCCTAAAATTGTTCCTGATATATAACAATTTAAATATCGTTTTCATATATATATATATATATATATATATATATATATATATATATATATATATATATAAACAGTTAAGGGTCAGAGTTGAATCAGACCACGAAATAGTAGTATTAAAAAGTGTTCAATACATGTGTGAAAAATAAAATCAAAATAACATGTAGATCTTTTAAATTTAAAAATCAGGAGGTCAGTTGAATTCGCTACCTTGGTTTCAACCTTACTGTATCCTCAGGCGATTTTCTCAAATGACCTCTTAACGCTTTTTTTTTTCCTGCGTTTGTTTGTTTATTTTTGAAAATAATAATGTAGCGTTCTTTAGGTTTTTTTTTAAGAAAAAAAGCGTTACGATGTCATTTGATAAAAATGTCCCGCGGATACCGTAAGGCTGAAACCAAGGTAGCGGATACAACTGATCTCCTGATTTTTAAAATATAGATAGATTGGGTGTATTTGGTCAGCAATTTTTCATTTATACAAGTTTTGTTCAAGACCAACGAAAACTGTTTAAGATTCTTATATATATATATATATATATATATATATATATATATATATATATATATATATATATATATATCAGAGCAGTGAATGTATAAATATGACGTGTCTCCTCTCTGTCTTTTCTACAAATATTTTCATGGCAATTGTTCTGATGAGCCTTCTTCCTTGGTGCTTCGACTGCAAGAATTTAAGCATGCTACTAGATTGGCAATTAGGTCTCACCGTTTTACTTTTGAACTAGATAGATGCAACTGTATGTAAAGTTTGTTTCATTAAGACGGATCAGTTTTTAAAGCCTCGAAAATTATGATGAAAGACAGGAAACTACGCTAAATAAATATAAAAAAAACAAATAAAAGGGTGTTTCATTAAGACGGATTATATATAAGGATGTTTCATTAAAACAGATCAAAGTCAGCAGTAAATAAATCAGTGTTATTGGTGAAAATTTATTTATTTCACTATTGGATCATGTTATTTAAGTCATGGCAATTATGTGTGAAAAATAATATCGCCCAAGTGTCCGCCAAGGCTTCGACGGCACACCTCTACTCGATGGTCAAAATATTTGATGACGTCTCTGCATAGTTGCTCCTCGATCTCACCAATATGCCTTATTATTTAATCCTTCAGCTGCTAAATTGTTGTTGGGTTGTTGGCATAGACCTTACTTTTGAGATGACCCCAAAGGAAGAAATCTAAAGGCGTCAAGTTGCACGATTGTGGTGGCCAATTGTTTCGAGTGATAATGCGACCTGCGAACTTATTGCATTTCTGTTTGAACGTCCATTTTCGTAATAGGCTTTGATAACTTTAACACATTGTTTGATTGTTAATCTTTCCATGGTTGAAACTGCCAAAGACTTAAGTTGTTAAATCTGAAAGAAAAAGAAAGAAATCATTAGACGCTTAAACTTAATCCACATTTAAAATTGGCGCAAGTTATTGGAAGATCCTATATTTATGATTTACCAATTTATAATGAAATAAATATAAAGATAATTTTTTTATTCATAAACTTATAAACATTTTGTAAATTATTAAAATATGTGAACCACCTATAAAGAAATCCTCATTATTTACCATTTTATAAAATTTGAATTGATTGGCAAAAGGTCACAGTTTGGTGTGCATTTTTTTGCTGGCAGAATCATTGGCCCGTATATTTATAAATTTGAACGTCCATTTTCATAATAGGCTTCGATAACTTTAACACGTTGTTTGATTGTTAATCTTACCATTGTTGAAATTGCCAGACTTAAGTTGTTAAATCTGAAAGAAAAGGAAAAACATCATTAGACGCTTAAACTTAATCCACATTTAAAATCGGTCCAAATTATTGGAACACCCTTTACTGTTGTAATAGTTTTGTTATCACCCTTTTTCGCTTTTGGAACTCCCTTGCAATTTACTGTTCCCTACGATCTTCAAAAATTTAAATGCAACGCCTATCGACATCTTCAGGAAACCTGTTCTTTTATTGTCCACTTCTTCTCACTAAAGTCTTCCCATTGTCGTTCACTCCTTGTAACCCCTTACGTCTTCATGGCATTATCACCTTGCTTGGGGCGAACTATTTAACCCTTTGATCCCTGACCACCGCTTTACCGATGGTAAATAAAAATGACTTAATGCATAGCCACCGGTAGAACGGTGGGTAAACACTTGTAACTATTTTTATATCTACCGTGAAACATTACATACCAATTATTTGCGAATTTTGACTCAGGAGCTCGGACAGAAGAGTTAAAATTGTTCACGAACGCAAGGCTCAAAGAGTTAAAGAAGAAAAAAGATTGACTATCTTTGTTTCTATTTCCAAACTGCTCAAAATTAAAGCATTAGCGTAGCAGAGATAATTGATGCATGTCTTAACGAGGAACAACGACGTCATGCTTTTCAGTTGATAGCGATGAGCATTTCTTTCCTTCGGCTCTGAACTTTGCTCAGTATTATGAACTGATATTTCAGTTGGATCCTTTGATTCCTGGGTTTGAAATCTGGGTGGCCCACTCGAAGCCAGCGATTTTTGGCAATCCCACATTCAGATCTTTGTCGATCTTATAGGAGGAAAAATAGTCTTTCCTTTCCCCTTTACGCTGTCATTTAATCTCGCCAAGCACTTAAATGACCCTTACTTTGCTTATACAACTCTCAACCAGCAACGGGACAATCTCCGCCGCCCGGCTCTTTGATTGGCAGCTCTTATCAACAATCCACACTTGTTTTCGACATCTCTCAACTTTGGTTACGTTAGCATTTATTTAGTTTCCAAATTATGTAACTTGTTGTTAATTTTAATCTTATAAAAAAATCCATAGTACCTGTAGTCTTTGATAGCCAAAATTTCCCAGAGATCTATTCGTTCACTGTCTGACTCGTTCTATTAGTCGACCTATAAATCTTACTCTATTGCGCTAACAAATGTAATAAAAGCTGGATAATAAAGCCATCTCTGATTTTTTTAAATGTTAAATTTCAACCAATATAAGGCTCGAGAGACACTCTTAAAATGGAAATGGTGAATGAGGTTTATGATATGAACGGAAGATTAAGAAATAAAGATTATGAAGATAAGGGGAAAAATGAAGATCGAACCTTGACTTGAGGAAGTTAAGACTGAAGTTTTCGGAGAACACATTGTTGTAAACAATCCACTTTTCATCACCTGGAACCGTTGATTAGACAAGAACTTTTCTATGGAGTCAAACAAATAACAGGTTTGAAAATGACAGCAACAATAACAATTATGATGGAAATATAGTACTACCAATTTAGGGATGAGTTCAACCCCCTTTAGTATGTTTACTATGTGAATTTTTTTTAACTTTTCGTTTTAATCGTACGAAGGTAGTCATATAATGGAACCAGTTAATTTGAATGAGTTGAAGTCGTTTTCTTGCGTTCGTATGCGAATTGCCTGACCACACATTTGACAGTTGGAAATGGAATTCATAATTTCAATAGTACTTTATGCCTGCTTATTCCTACTTCGGATTGGCCAAGAACATGTCTTCTTTCTAAATCTAAAAAATACCATTATTCTTGGAGTACTGAGCATTGGAAAGTGACTAAACAATTAGGCCTTTTACGCTTTATGGAGTGTTTAGTAGTTGTCAATACTTATGTGTATGTCTACAGAAATTACCACATCTGAATAAAATTATATCGCTTTACTTATGTCCTCGTCCTCTCTCTCTCTCTCTCTCTCTCTCTCTCTCTCTCTCTCTAGAGTAAGAGATTTGAAAGGTTAGACACAGACATTATAAAAGTGTTTGAAATTCCGTACGTTAACAATTCCCGTTTTCGCGAAGGATAATTCATAATTTTGAGAGTAAAAAGAAGAAACACAATATATATATTATGAAATGGACAAAATCCGACAATTATTTTTTTACGCTTATACATTCTTTTTATAGATACAAATATTTAAGTAAATGTTCTGTTTATAATAAACAGTATTAAACAACATTTACCGGCCTGAATGTCCGAGAAATTTTCACGGAAAATATCCGTCCTCCGACAGGATTCGAACCTGTATCCTATACGGAACCGTCATTTAGCTTGACGTGCCTTTAACCGATTTGACCACAGAGGAGCGTTCGGTTAGTAAGGTCGAATTTACTATATTTGAACTTCAGGTCGGTAAATGTTGACATAACTTAGCTAGCCATAAACGCTGACCCAATCGTACAAACAATATTCCTTACACTAAAACAACACATTCGTACGTACCTTTCTTACTACAATCATCATCATACCTCATGTCTCTATGAAAATACTAACTAGTCCCCATATTTACAATTCATTGTCTATGAGGGGGGGGATAAAACAACAATTCTAAAAAAAACTAGCCCCAATAAGTATTTACAATATGAAAGCAAAATCTATACCATAGCGAAGAGCTGATCAGAACAAGTGCCACGAAAGTATTTATAGAAAAGAGACAGAGAGGAAAGCTTACGGTGGTGGGAAAGTGACTTAAGCCGAGCTGCCAGATCAGGACCAACAATATTGCTGATTCTTCTTTGGATTTTTTCAAGGAGCTCAAGGTAAATATCAGGAACACTGAACCACATGTGGCAGTAATATTCTAAGGATGGGCGAATGATAGACTTATAGACATGTAAGATAAATTCTGTAAAGAAAAATTGTCTCGCACGACACATTGAACCAACTTTTTTTGTATCTGACCTACCAGTGGATTCAATATAATAAAAGTATTTTACTATTACTATTGTTTTATTTCGCACGGTTTTCGTTTACGACCGGAGATCTTGCATTATGTCCGCTCACCATCAAGCCGATCGACAGGGAAAATATTTACAGTGCCAAGCAACGCACATTTCTGACGCTATGGCCTACGAAGCTTTATTCCGATTTTCTCGATGTAAGATTTCGAGTTCAGTGGTATAGACCCCAACGGCCCAATGATGATAACTGGGACAGTAATTATATGAACGACCCACATTCGAGCAACTCCAATATGGAGGTCAATTTATTTGTTGAGCTTTTCAATTACTTTGAGTTTGATATCATTGTCACCAGGAACGGGCACGTCAATGAGGAGACATTTTCTTATTTGTCAACAACATTGATATCTGGTTTCCTGGCCTCAAGGACGCGGTCTGTTTGGATGTTGAAATCCCACAAGATCTTCACTTTCAAGATTCTTCTTCTTCTTCTTCTTCTTCTTCTTCTTCTTCTTCTTCTTCTTCAGATTGCGTTCAATAATTATGAAACAAACTCTCACTTCTCTTTGATGACTTCAGTTATACACAGACACAGATACACACACACACACACACACACACACACGCACACACACACACACACACATATATATATATATATATATATATGATGTGTTGTTAACCATTCTGCTACAAAGAAGCGTCTGATTAGCAAAGTCCGAATTACTGTTTATAAACATACGCCTTCAAAGATTTTTCTCGATCGATCATATCTGCTCAAGAAACGTACCTTAACGTAAACATTAACAACATATGAAATGATGTCCGACAATTATTTAATATATTTTCTGTTTATAAGTTATTTTATTAGGTACAACTTATTTAAGTAAGTGATCTTTTTAATAAACAGTATTAATTATATATATATATATGTGTGTGTGTGTGTGTGTGTGTGTGTGTGTGCTAATGTTTAACAAAATCCGTTCATACTCACGAATAACCTTCTGTGTAGTGATGTTAAAGGATGAGAGAAATGTGCTATTGCTGTTTAAGTTTCTTTTATTTTCATTTCCCAAGTACTTTCGATTTTCTCCGCACATTGTGAGTTCAATACCCGGTTAAGGCAGTGGAGAACTTGGAGAGGGGAATTAACATGAGATAACTGATAAGTGACATCCATTAAACATGGCACGTGGAACTAGAACAGTCTACCCCAGCGAGCGAAATAAAGGGTTCACTTCGACATTCCATCTACCTGAAGAAGGCCGGAGCGTACAACGGCCGAAACGTTGTAATAATAAATATGGCGACAAAGATGAGGACAATAGTCCGAATAATGTAAATAGTATAACATGACCCATAAAGAGCTGATATATCGCTAAACAAGCAATAGCAATAATTTATGTAGACATGAGGGTGTTTGGTTTTGAGAACTCTTTTTAGGCGTTGATCTTCTCGCGAGAATGTGAGAGATTCTGGTTTTCACATCTCAGAGCGCTTTTATAACTACCTATCATCCGATAGTCTTAAGCTCAGCTTGGTCGACTATCTGTTTACATGTCGGAGCCAGCCACTACCATCATTTGAGGTGCGATTCTGCACCTGATGATTATGAGGACACCTTCCAGATAAACCCTCTGATGCACCTGGCTTCTCTAATGTTCTAGTGCGACACCGAGTGCAAAGTCTACTTTGGCATATCGTACGGTGAGCCCAGTACACACTGGCGTCACCACAGGTCAACTTCACTTAAAATGAAGTTTCCTTATTAATATCAAATTTGATTCCTACCTCTGGCGTTTCCTGGCGTGGATAGATATACGTGCTGCGATAAAAACCTAGGCAATTCGGTGAACTTTATAAATAAATATCGTATTTCTAGAAGCATAAAAAAACACTCCGATCTACATGACGCAACCTTATTTTGAAGACAATGTTTTGGGTAAAAATATTAATCTACGGTCGTATTTGAAAAAAATTTATTGAACAAACATTCAATCTGATATTTTTTTAAAAATCTGATACTTTACAAAATAACTCAAAGTATCAAACTATTTTGCTTGTTAAGGCCCATGATACTTCCTATCGACTTTTGGTGAGGCATTCAACATGACAGAAAGCATTTGCAAGATTGCCGTGTATACAATGAAAATTGAAATACTGATTAAGCGATTCTTCTTCTTCTATTTGCCGTGTCCCTTCAGGACGTTGGCGATCATAGCTCTCCAAATTTCATGTCCTTTGCAGCTCTTAAAAAATGTTGTCTTTTTATTATTTCGCCTAAATTCTGTACCGACATCCATTTACTCAATCTCTCTAGGTCAGTCAAGTCACTCATCCTTCTCCTCTGTCTCTCTTGCATTCAATCTTCCCTGTAAGTGTTTAATTTTCCAAGCCCCTTTTCCTCATTATGAACCCTAGAAGTTTCAACTGTCTCTTTCTGATGTTAAGTATAAGAGTCCATCTTGTGTCCATCCTCTCTAAAAATTTGTCGTTGCTCACATGTTCGGTCCATGGTATTGTCAGGGTCTTCATGTAGAACCACATTTTTTGATGCTTCAAGTCCCTTCTTCATCGGTGAGGAGATCGTCCATCATTCACTGCCATGTAGGAGTACCGATACTACGTAACACTCCAGTACTCTTTTCTTTGTTTCTAACGAAAATTCCTATTTCTTAATACTTTGCTTTGCTTTTGAAAAGCATCTTTTGCTATCCCAATGCGCCTACTGATTTTAGTGTTGCACTTTCCGTCATCTCTCAAAACACTGGTTGGTCAAGCGCATTGCACGTTTGAAATCAATATAATTGCTATTAACACGTTCAAATGAACTAAATTATGCATACTTATTTAAATATATTTGCACAGGCATACACACACAAGAAAAAAGCCACACACACAGCACAGTTGAAAACAAACACACGCACAGCATCGAATGAAGAAAACATTAACATTCTAAAAACCTTGAAAATTGTCAGCGTGCAGTGATGTTCACATTACGTAAGATATATATATATATATATATATATATATATATATATATATATATATATATATATATATATATATATATATCAAAGTATAGGATTGGTGTATACGGAATAAATTCCAATAACCAAAAAATACTATTCTTAAAATAGTGCTCAATACAGAGTTGAGGAAATATAATTATTTATTCGAAAATTATGACATAAATATATTATAGCCAAGGTGCCAGGCGTTGCCTGGGTGTACATAGCTGCAATTGTATAACCACACAATCCTGTATAACCACACCTAGTATTCCCGCACCCCCATGTCTGCATGCATCATCCGTTTATATATTAAGCTACTTCCTACCTCATCTTTTTACGGCATGTCATTCGCAAATGTTCTCAATAAAGGATTTCCGTCGATAAAACCTTCTTGTGTGGTGGTTGCTCGGGGTTAAATTGTTTCAATGTTTTAGATATTTAGTAAATTTCCTATGGCCGTAATGATTTTGAAATAGTATGGCATTGTTCACAAATCTAATAATCAAACAAAAACAGGCATGAAGCGCCAGAGCTTGATTCAACTGCAAGTACAAACGCATGAACCCCACCACCACCAACACCACCTTTCTTCGCACGTTGATTGTAAAGCTGGTGTTAATAAGAAGTTCTTCAGAATTTTTTTCCCTTTTAATCCTTCAATAATCCTTCTCAAATAATCTGTGCATCAAAAATTGTTCGAATGCCAATTTAGGATGGAATCATATGAAGAAACTATTGACTAAATAGCAAAAGCCAATTTTGCACCTAGTTTTGGGCTTCTGTTTTATTGATAAGGATCTACTTGTATATCCTCCTAATACTGATTTACTTGACCGAGTAGAGTAACTAAACAAAGTCGAACACACAATGGAATTTACATACAAAATGGGAGAACACAATTCCTTACTCTTCCTAGAAGCTACAAGCTAGACGGCGTTAACAACAGTTTAAAACTCGGTGACCACCGGAAATCAACCAACAAAAACTACCTAATAAATTACTATTCTCATCTTAAAAAATTAAAATCCGGAGTAATCATCGGCTTCTACTTAAGAGCACTATGAATATGCAGCCCACGTTATTTATACGAAGAGGAGAAATACATTGAAAACACTTTCAAACTTCACCAATACGCTAGTTATTCTATATTCAATGCGAAACAAAAGGCTCATAAAATATTTCAAAACAAAAAAACAGTTCCACCTGAAAACCTAATGGATCAAAAAATATATTATCCTACCAACTAACTCTATCACATCCACAATCGAAAAGAATCTATCTAAACTCAACATAAAATTTGTTACTACTACATGCAAAATAATAAAAGACTTAATCAATACTAAACAAAACAATAAGCTAAAAACTGAAGGAGGAAGGTCATCTACAGTAAATTTGTGCCCTGACTCTTACAACATTTCACCATTCCTGGTAGATCTTCTATTATCAAAGTGTGGAAAACCTACTGACAAAAGTGATGGAAAGAAAAAAAAAACTAGAAATGAATTCGACTAGATATAAAAAAACAAATTCTAAAAAGATTCTGACATTCCCAGCATCCCTCATTTGTGCGCATGTGTAGTCGTACTTACATAACAAATTTAGTTCAACGAAGTCCTGAAGGACGTAACGCGTCACAATTAAACTTCTTCCATTTTGTCATACAGTTTCCCAATATTGTCCTTAATATATAAAAACATATATGCAGTATGAATTTTCTTTCGAATATCATCATTTGAAATTTCTTTACAGCAAGAAATATAGCCAGCGTTACCTTTTCAATTTAATTGTAGTATTTTTCTGTATTTGTCAAACTTGTTGATGCGTGGGCGACTCCTTTCACTGTACCGACTTCAAATTTATGGCCTATTACCCGCTCCTAAGCCGTATTCGCTCGCGTCTGACGCTACTATTATTTGTCACTGCGGATCGTAATTTGTCAGTGATAACTCTGAAGTTAGTAGATTCTTAATTCCTTCCATAGTTTTTTGACATTCCTTCCATAGTTTTTTGACATTCCGCCGAACAATTCCATTTCGTACCCTTCTTAAATAAATTATTCAGAAGTACTCGCAATTTGTACATATCTGACACAAATATTATAATAATTTGCTAATACCAGAAATGACTGTAAGGTCACCAAATCTGTCTGGTGAGGCATGTCTTTAATGGAACTTACTCTAGCAGGTCCTGGTCTTTCTTTTTCGTCGATTATCTGACCTAAATATTTAATCTTATCCATAAAGAACTGTCATTTCTGTTATCTGAGTTGAAACTATAATCATGCAGTCTTTGAAATACTTGCTAAATCAGTTTTATGGGCTGTATTTTCGTAGTGCTCTTAATAATTATATTATCTACTAGCACCATGGCCCGGCGCTGCCCGTGCTTGATTCAAAAATCGTACGACTCATACAGCAATCGCTATCACTTGTCTTAAAATATTTTTGCCCTTCCTTGCCTTTAAAGGAGTGCCCTTTGCCGTGCTGATGTTGCTACATGCCTTATTTCTTGCCTATCTGACACTGCGAATTTTTTCTAAGCTCTATACTAAACATTAAATCTGTTACGAAAAAAGAACTAAACAAAATGAACACAAAACGATCAGCTTTAAAAAAAAAGGACTCGTAACTGGAAAAACCGAATGAAAAAGGAATGTTAACAACAAATACTTTTTCACACCTAACCCAGTTCTGCGGAATCAGAATCAACGTTGAGTTTAAGCAAGCGAATGAGCCAATTGGAGTAAAGTGACTTGTGACGAATGCAGCTATCGTCATTTTTTGCATGTTAGCATGCTAGTTAACATTCGTGTCAGTCAGCTGTTGGCTCTCACGTTGGCCAATAGAATTTTCCTGCCTATTCGTGGCAGCCAGCTATTGGCTCCCACTCTGGCCAGTACAATATGGCCGAAAACTACATGAAAACTGCCTAGAAGCATGAAAAAATCGATTATTTTGACTATCGATGGGAGTTGGGAAATACAAAGTCGGTCCACTAACTTGGTGCATGTGCATGTAAATTTTGGTGCAAATCTGTTGAAAATTGCGGCCGTGCATTCGTTACACACACACAACACACACACATCCTGCCTTTTATAGATAGAGATGTTAGCGACTGCAGCGTTTAGTTCAGCCAACATCGTATCCATCATTTGCTGGAAAATACCTCGGACTAATTTCATACCGAAAGTTAATCTTCTAAATTTGTAGAATCCTTTATGTGTAACAATAAAATACTTCTGGTGTTCCTTATCCACTTCGATTTGAAGATATGCCTCAGACAGACCAATTTTTGAAAAAAAATTACCACCATTTACCACCTACCTCTGGAGTTGGTAGGGAATACACATGTGGTAGACGGCAGTCATTCAACCCAGTCGAAAAATCTGCACATAGATGAATCTTATTATTTTTCTTTTTAATATAAACCGCTGACATGGCCCATTCTGAATAATTTATTTTTTCAGTAACTCCGTGGTTTTCTAACCTATTAAATTTAGTGTTGATAGACTCAAAACGCAGCAAAGGGATTCTTTCTTTTAGGCTTAAAAACTGATATCACATTTTCTTTTAATTTGAAAAATACCTTTGATTTTGAACATTTTTCCAACTCCTTTGAGAAAATATCCGTGAATTTATTTTTTAGTTTCCTCAGTGTTTCTTTAGCTGTAATCTCTTTCTCTGACGAACAATTAATTCTTTCACAGAATGAATTAATCGGCCAATTCCATAATTCAAATAATTCTAGCCAATCGACGCCTAGTAAACGCGAATTGAAATATTTTAATGCGTAAACATCTACTTCTTTTAGTTTTACCCGCAAGAGCGATGTTACACGTAATTTTCCCAAGAAAAATTAATTCTTCTTGCAACTTTTTTCTGTTTTTTTCAAGTTAAGCTTTCCAATTCTGTTCCAAGTTTGTTCATGAATAATTGTAACATCGCTACCAGTGTCCAACTGAAATATGACCGTAGCGTTATTCCTTTTTATTGTCATGAATTTTCTATTATTTACATAATTCGGACTATTGTCTTCATCTTTGTCGCTATATGAGGACAATAGTCCGAATAATGTAAATAATGTACATAATGCCTCATATTAGAAATATAGACAGATACTGAATTTTCTATTATTTAAACTTTCCAGTTTTTTAGCTGGTAGCACTACTTTCAGCAAGGTAATTTGTGTATTTCTTTTGCTTTTCGGCTTACAGTGGCTTCGTTTGTGACCTGTTTCTCCACATTTTTTTGTTTTTAAATGGACAGTCCTATCTGAAATTAAGCATACCACAGCCATAGCATGGGTTAAATTTGGCAGTATTTTTATTTCGGGTTTTTTCTTTTGGAACTAGTGTTTTGGTTTTTTTTTGTTTGTTTTTTCGAACTACTTGTACTTCTGAATTGTCATTTTGTTTAACTTTCGCCGTATTGACATTTATTTTTTTTTTGCACTCTTCTGCAACAGTCTGTATCATTAACATTGAATCCTGTTCAACTTTTGTAAAGATTCGAAAGAATATTTATGCATTGTTGCTTAATGTTAGGCCTTTAACGAAGATTAGACATTTAAATCTCTCTGAGATAGTTCGTCCAGTTTAAGTTTTTCACACTTAGTGGTATATGTGAGAAAATATTCATCTTCGTCGTTAGCAAGCTTCATGCAATGTCAACGTGTATAAAACAATTAACCTACAATACCCATATCATTTCATGCACAACGCAAGAAGAAAGGCATACAAAATATACAACCGAAACAAAACTAATAACATAATCCGCAATAGTAAATCACATGAAAACAGATACATAATACTACCGACCAACTCTGTCACGTCCAATATCCAGAATAACCGATCCCATCTAAATAATCTTGAAATAGTCAGAAATAATATTTCTGAAGCAGGCATTTATAAAATAAATTGCCAAAACTGTTCCTCCCAATACATTGGAGAAACAAATAGAATTTTTTTACAAAAACGCACAAAAACAACCAAGCTAATGCACTAGTCATGCATAGAAATAAATTCAACCACAATTTTGATTTTAAAAATGCTACACTCATAAAAAAAGAAAATAACTCACCCAGGAAAATCCTAGAGAGTGCCGCCATTGAATATTACCCAAATATTAATCTACGCCCAGGCTTTTTCCCTATTTCACCTTTCTTAACAGAAATACTAGTCTCCCAACCAAACGTACACAACAATATCGTGAAATCAAAAGAAAATGATTGCCTCCGTCAACGCAGCAATAATAACAATATCTCCACACGTGACAGTAATTGACGTAATTTTCAGTTAACAGTATGAAAATAGCATTCTCTAAATTCTTCCAGTTACTAAGGACATTTTGTTTTTGTTATTAGTTACTTTGTTTTAATAAATTCATTTCGTTTTTTGCCTTGAGAAAGTCCACATTGGATGAAATGCGTCGGCAACTATTACAGTTTTCCTATTGTCATTTATAAATATTGTCTTTTCTACAGGTTAACTCTGAAAAATTTTCATATATATATATATATATATATATACCGTACCTATGAACACTAATGGGTATGTCTCAATCCTTATAAATACGTTGGACCCTATTGTAATTAGGGGGTAATATGCTGTCTACGTAGTTCACCATTAGCAGTGGTTTACCTACTTCACACTGCTGGCAAGTATTGTATTTTGTTGATGTTATAAAGATTGCCATTTCATTTCCATCCTCAGTTTTGGTTATTCCTCATTCAGTAACCTTTTCTAGGTTACAACAAATAATATATATATATATATATATATATATATATATATATATAGAGAGAGAGAGAGAGAGAGAGAATTTGTTTCATGCCTCGGATTAAAAAAAGCGGCATCAAGTAATTCAAAACTTCCCTCGAGATATTTTATGTCGGGCTGAACATTGAACTCCAATAATTTACTTGGTAACAGAATAATTTGACGACTAATTCTTTAGACTCTGATCCGAAAATCATTCAGATAAATCCATGCCTAAATTCTGAGACGCAATGCCGTAATTCTACACGCTTGTAAATCATCGTTCGGTTTCTTTCCGCGATCAGATCTCAATCCTACTAATTCCGCGAAATTAAAAGGAACAGTTTGTAAAAAAAAAAATCAAAAAAAATTTTTTTTAAAAAGACGTAAAAGAAATCAAGAAACCCTGGTGTTACATAAGCAGTAAATAAAGTCCCATGTAATCCTCAGCAATCTAATTACCTAGCATTTCCTTTTTCGTCGACATTACTGCTTATTAAAATGCTTACTTCTCGTTGGGGGTACGCTTTTTCATCCCCACCGACCCTAACCGTTTGGAGTGCCGTGTCCGCTCCGACATGAAAAAGCACGAGTGTTACCCGGATTTAAATAATGGTCGTCTTACATAACTATAGCAAGACAGGAAGTTGTGAAATTTTACAACTGGGCTCTAAAAACTGGCCTTGAGTTCTTGACAGTAATATTTCATTCATTAAGATAAGTGGCTCTTAAAGAGGAAACTGGAAAGAAAGACCTTGAGCTAGAAAAAAAAAGGGAACAACGATTACTCCCACCGAGGGAGGGGTTCTTTTTTTCTTTAATTTTTCGTTTTATTAACGAAAAAATCGAAATAGAATAACTTCCTTCCTTATACGCCTTCTTGAACATTTTCCTTTGAAGAAAACTATCATCTTTCTCTTTTACCTCTCTTTCTTCTTTCTCTCCTACCCTCTGTCTCTCTTTCTCCCTCCCCTCTCTCTCTCTCGCTGTATGTCTGTCTATCTCTTTCTCTGTGTCTGTATCTTTCTCTGTCTCTCTTGCTCTCTCTCTCACTCTCTCTTTGTCTCCCTGTCTTTCTCTTCTTCAGTCTATTTATTCAGATCTGTTTCTCTGATTGTCAAGCATTCTTTCCTTCTCTCCTACTCTCTCTTTATCTATCTATCTAGCTAGCTAGCTAGCGAGCTAGCTATCTAGCTATTTGTATCTACTCCATCTTCCTTTCTTTATTCTTTCTTTCAATGTGCTCCCTTTTGTTTTCTTCCTTTCATTCATTTATTCTTTTTTCTTTATTTCTGATCTATTCATCTACTTACACACTCTTTCTTTCTTTCTTTCTATTTCTATGTCGTCTCTTCTTCTCCATCAATCGCAGTCTCTTTATATCTATCTCTATCTCAGTCTCTTCATATCTATCTATCTATCTATCTATCTATCTATCTATCTATCTATCAGTTCATCAGTTTGAACAAGAGACTACGAAACTCATTCACATCTATCTATCTATCTCAGTCGATTCGCATCCATCTATCTATCTATCTATCTATCTATCTATCTATCTATCTTTCCCAGTCTCATTCACATCTATCTATCTATCTATCTATCTATCTATCTATCAGTTCATCAGTTTGAACAAGAGACTACGAAACTCATTCACATCTATCTATCTATCTATCTATCTATCTATCTATCTATCTATCTCAGTCGATTCGCATCTATCTATCTATCTATCTATCTATCTTTCCCAGTCTCATTCACATCTATCTATCTATCTATCTATCTATCAGTTCATCAGTTTGAACAAGAGACTACGAAACTCATTCACATCTATCTATCTATCTATCTCAGTCGATTCGCATCTATCTATCTATCTCAGTCGATTCGCATCCATCTATCTATCTATCTATCTATCTATCTATCCCAGTCTCATTTACATCTATCTATCTATCTATCTATCTATCTATCAGTTCATCAGTTTGAACAAGAGACGACGAAACTCATTCACATCTATCTATCTATCTCAGTCGATTCGCATCCATCTATCTATCTATCTATCTATCTATCTATCTATCTATCTATCTATCTCAGTCGATTCGCATCTATCTATCTATCTCAGTCGATTCGCATCCATCTATCTATCTATCTATCTCAGTCGATTCGCATCTATCTATCTATCTCAGTCGATTCGCATCTATCTATCTATCTATCTATCTATCTATCTATCTATCTATCTATCCTCTCCGGTCTATTTCGTTCTGTCATTCACTTTTCCGCAATCTATTCTAATTTGATTCTAAGAGGGTCGGCTGAAAAGTTCATAGCCTGATCAAGATAGTCTCATGTAATGTGACCGAATGTATTTTATTGTCAAGCACCCCCACCTTGTGGCCCACACACTCCTTCCATGTGTTAGGCTATGCTTGGATCCCATTGATGAAGAAGTTTTCATCCTGTTGGTCAAAAAGTCATCAACAGCAGATATGACGCCATCATCACTGCTATGCTGGTTTCCAGCCAAATGCTTTTTCAAGTTGGGAAACAGATGATAGTCATATGGAGTAAAATCAGGAGAATAGGGAGGGTGATCACCCAGTTGAAAAACATGGTCACGTACAGCAGCCATTGAAACCAAGAACTTGTGTGTTTCAGCATTGTCCCGATGAAACAAGACCCATTTCGTCAGATTTCCTGGGTCTTGATATCCTTTCGTAACTGCCTCAGCAAATTGGTACAGCCCTCTCTGTTGATGGTGTGGCCCTTTTAAAGATTGTTAATAAACACAAATCGTTTTGTACCCCCAAAAAAAAAAAAAAAAAAAACTGAGGCTATCAACTTTCCTGCAGATGAAACAACCTTGTACTTCTTTGGAGCAGGTTAGGAGAGGTCTTTCTGCTGCATGGATTGTTTCGTCGTCTCTTGCTCAAACTGATGAACCCAACACTCATCTGGGTTAGAAAATGTTCAAGGAAACTATCTGGATCTGCCTCAAATGATGTCAGATCCCCCCCTCCCCCGGTGATGTGATCATTCTGGTGAGATCAGGTGTCAGAAGATGTGGCACCCACGGAGCAGAAACCTTCGTCATGCCAAGTTCATAGTGCAGAATATTCTCAACACTCTCATGGGATATGCTAACGGCATTGGCCGTTTTATTTATATTCAATTACCCGTCATCTATCACTGTTGATAAGGTTAGAGCGCCATCATCTTATGTTGCAACCACGTTAGCATGAATGTTCTGGGAGGGACTAAATCATTTTTCTGCGGGTACTTGGCAACACCACGATGCGAAATTTTGTCCATTTTCATGAGAAGTCGCTATATCTGAAGTCATCTTTGAACAGTCAGATGTCATTTTACCTGGAGTAAAACAATGCAGTTATTAATAAGAATAGTTTAAATGAATGCATGCCAAGAACTTTTTCGTACCTGAAAAGAAACGATGCTCAGAAGAGTTGGAAATGAATGCATTACACCTGCATAGTCAGCCTATGAACTTTTCAGCCCATCCTCGTACCTGAAAAGAAACGATGCAGTTATTAATCAGAAGAGTTGAAATGAATGCATGCAAGATTTCACAGCTCTAGCATTACACCTGCATAGTCAGCCTATGAACTTTTCAGCCCATCCTCGTATCTGAAAAGAAACGATGCAGTTATTAATCAGAAGAGTTGAAATGAATGCATGCAAGATTTCACAGCTCTAGCATTACACCTGCATAGTCAGCCTATGAACTTTTCAGCCCATCCTCGTACCTGAAAAGAAACGATGCAGTTATTAATCAGAAGAGTTGAAATGAATGCATGCAAGATTTCACAGCTCTAGCATTACACCTGCATAGTCAGCCTATGAACTTTTCAGCCCATCCTCGTATCTGAAAAGAAACGATGCAGTTATTAATCAGAAGAGTTGAAATGAATACATGCAAGATTTCACAGCTCTAGCATTACACCTGCATAGTCAGCCTATGAACTTTTCAGCCCATCCTCGTACCTGAAAAGAAACGATGCAGTTATTAATCAGAAGAGTTGAAATGAATGCATGCAAGATTTCACAGCTCTAGCATTACACCTGCATAGTTAGCCTATGAACTTTTCAGCCTATCCTCGTATCTGAAAAGAAACGATGCAGTTATTAATCAGAAGAGTTGAAATGAATACATGCAAGATTTCACAGCTCTCGCATTACACCTCCATAGTCAGCCTATGAACTTTTCAGCCAACCCTCGTACCTAGAAAGAAACAATGCAATTATTAATAAGAGTTGAAATGAATGCATGCAAGATTTCACAGCTCTTGCGTCACTCCTTTATAGTCCGCCTATGAACTTTTCAGTCCATCCTCGTAACTGGAAAGAAACAATGCAGCTATTAATCAGAAGAGTTGAAATTAATGCATGTAAAAATTCACAACTGTACCATCACGCCTTCATAGTCCACCTATGAAATTTTTTCTCTCCCTCTCATCCTCATATTCTCTTTCGAAATCGGAGAGCCGCGTTCTAATTCCATTTTTTCTTCATTATATTCACTTATACGCAAATACCCTTAGGTAAGTGTTATAGCATTCCTACAGACGATAATGGGTATGTACCCATTTACATAAATTCAATACTAAATACTGTATGCTGGTCTGCAGTCGGAGATTCGCCTCCAGCTATGCTGGTCAAACTCTTTTCCTCTGGACAGAGAGGATCCCCAGACGAGGCTCTGTCGAAGGGCAGAGTCTGGTCTCTAGAAACTGCTACCCGATCGTGTTTTATACGGGGTTTACGGGAAATCTTTGGCCGAGCCTACGGGATCGGATACCCTACATTAAATTCGGCCTTGTGCCACATCTGAGCGCGTGGGGTTGTTGGTAGATATCCTGCAGCTGGAGATTCGTCTCCAGCTGTTCTGGTCAAACTCTCTGCCTCTGGGTAGAGAGGATCCCCAGACGAGGCGATGTTGAAGAGCAGAGTCTCGTCTCGGAAAACAGCTACCCGACCCTGTTTTATACTCTTCGGGGAATTTTTGGCCAACCCTACGAGCTTAGATACCCCACATTAAATTCGGTTTTGTGTCACACCTGACCGCGTGGGGTGGTTGGTAGATATCCTGTAGTTGGAGATTTGTTGTGGAATTCACGACTCACTTCTAGCTGTTGACTACTTCTACGCGCCGCTGGCGAATCTTATATGTGTTGTTCTTGTCCTAAGTATTATCGTTCATAACCAACTTTCGTTTGATTATTCTGTTCAGTAACCTTCGCTAGGTTGCAACAGTAAGGTATAAATACACTTCTTCCCCCTCCAATTATGGGTTAATTAATAGGACTTGTATCAGTAAATCACTATTATCTCCAAAATCATCTTACAATTTAAAAATATTTTCTGCATTTGAATAGCCTGCAAATGGTTGATAAACCGTAAAAAAAACAAATCAATCTCTCTTATATACGCATTATTTCTTTCTCTCAATTATATTTCCAGTTATATTCCTTCTTTTTTATCTATCATTTAAATATATTAAATATTCACTTACATTCACTTACGCACAAATCCCCTTGGGAAATGCACGACTCCATCTCTTCCCCTAGCTATGGATTAAATAGTAATACTTGTATCTCAAAAATAATTGTCATTCTTTAAATAAAACATTGTTAATGCAATATTCACCTTCAAAATAAAGAAATATTCTAACAATTCAAACTATGATTTGCCTTTAAATAGCCTCCAAAGGGTTGATAAACCGTAAAAAATCAATCAATTAAATACTTTATTTATTTCTGTTTATCTATTACAGTCAGGTTATATCCCACATGATATTTGTTCGTATCCATCTTTTTTTTTCTACTTTCATATGCCCGCTTGTAACGTGCAGCTCATAATAAAACCGACATATTTTAAATTGGATGTTTAGCTCTGAAAGAAGTGCGTCTACATCACTGAATGGAACTGCATTGTATTAGCAATTATGCTGGCAGCCTTCTCTAGTTTTTAATCGAATTCTGCACACCACGCGAACTGCATACCCACAAAAGTATTTGCCTCATTTTCTGGAATTCTTTCACTGACTAACTGATGAAAAAAACTGTTGATGCGTGCAGCATTCGGGGAGACACTTATTCTTCTTCTATGTACAGTGACCTATCAGAAAGTGGGCGATCATGGCTCTCCAAAACTTCCAGTCCTTTGTAGCTCTTAGTAAGATGTGTCTCTCCTAATCCCTGTTCTGACAACTATTTACACAAGCTCGTTGGATTGGTTGGTTTGTTTAGTGGCACATCAACATATCTATGGGTTATTTAATACTGAAATCTAAATATATCGTACACAAATTTCTGCTTTCAATCACAGATATTTTATACATAATTTTATACTTTCAGAGTAAATATATATATATATATATATATATATATATATATATATATATATATATATATATATGTGTGTGTGTGTGTGTGTGTGTGTGTAGATAAAATATATTGCTGGTATTTTTAATGTATTTCTGGTAATTTCACTAAAGAAAATGTATTGCTGGTAATTTTACTATAAAAATTTATATTTTTTTACTTTTTTAGTGTTTTAGTCATTGTCATTTTGCTATAAAGTACATTGTTGGTAATTTTACTATAAAAATGTATTGTTGATTGTTATATTTGAGGTTCACTATTTGCCCATAGCTGGGACCCTAACAGGTGCTACCACGCCGTTTCAGGGTGAACCTGGGAACAGCAGTATAATGTTTACATTATTTACAACGTTCGGATTATTGTCCTTATCTTTTTTGCCAAATTCACGACGTTTCGGTCGTTGTACGCTCCGGCCTTCTTCAGGTGATCGAAATTTCGGACTGAACCCTTCATTTCGTCCACCGAGGTAGATTGTTCAAGTTCCACGTGCCATGCCTCTTCCGGTTATCTCCCTTTAACTCGCCTCTCCAAGTTTTTGTTCACCACTGCAATAGCCAGGTATTGAACTCACTCTGGGTCAAGTCACTGGATCCAACCAACGATTTTAGCCTAGTGGTCCTTGAGTTGTAAATTCTCATGAAAAATAAAAATGTATATAGTCATTGCCGAGGAGTGAAGGTAGTTAAAATAATAGCGGTGTCAAAGGAAAAACAGTCCTTTTCAAACTCCGTTTTATTTGCGTGCACAAAGATCCAAGTTTGCCGAAAATTTTACATCAGCCTTTTATGCAAATAACTTTAACCATGGAAATGTGGAATCAGTTCTTAGGATAACAGGAATCTTCTTCTTTA